CCCCGTGGGATATTATAACTCCATTCAGGGTCCTGGTTAGGACTCCTTCAGTGATGACTGGATGGGCAGCCTGTCACTGAGGAGAGAGAAGGAAAGACAGAGAGACTGAAGAGAAGGAGAAGGGACTGTGCGTTGAGGCCAGTTAGTGTGATCAGAGAGAGTGGAGGAGTCATCTAGTTTGGGCTCCATAGCTAGGAGGAGTTATTTTTTCCTGGGTTGGCTTATACCATGGTCTTTTTCTTTGTTTTGGGGTTTTTTGCTTTGTTTTGTTTTGTTTTTGAGATAGGGTTTCTCTGTGGCTTTGGAGTCTGTAGTCTGTCCTGGAACTAGCTCTGAAGACCAGCCTGGCTGGTTTTGAACTCACAAAGATCTGCCTGCCTCTGCCTCCCGAGGGCTGGGATTAAAGGCGTGCGCCACCAACACCCAGTCCATGTAATTGTTTTTAATCAAGAGGTAATGAGGTCACATGGCAAAATCTGTCCTTTCCAATGCTAGCAAAGATGACTGTTAACCACATGGCTGCCTCCATCTTGATGTGGGGACAGCAGCTAAGGTGGCAGCAAGTCACATGTTTCCTTTAAGATTACCTATGGGGCTGGAGAGATGGCTCAGCAGTTAAGAGCATTGGCTGCTCTTCCAGAGGACCGGGGTTCAATTCCCAGCACCCACATGGCAGCTCACAACTGTCTGAAACTCTAGTTCCAGGGGATCTGATACATTCACACCAATGCACATAAAATAAAGTTAAATGAATTATAAAAAAATAAGATTACCTATGTATAGGTTTTTAACTATCAAAGGGTTCAATTAACCCTTTTGTTAACCTATTAAAAGTTTTAGAGTTAAACCAAAGCCAACGAGTGTGATAGTCCCTATTGTGAGTAGTCTGCCCCTTTATTTTGTTTTGCTCTCCTTTCTCTGTCACATAATCAAGTGGCTTTCCTGATATGATATGATATGATATTGGAAGAAAACTTTAACCAAGAATAGAGGAGCCATAGCCCAACTCCAGAGTCAGCTTTTTTTTTTTTTTTTTTTTTTTTTGGGTTTTTCGAGACAGGGTTTCTCTGTGGCTTTGGAGGCTGTCCTGGAACTCACTTTATAGACCAGGCTGGCCTCGAACTCACAGAGATCCGCCTGCCTCTGTCTCCCAAGTACTGGGATTAAAGGTGTGCACCACCGATGCCCAGCTGCTTTCTCTGTTCAATGGTGGCAACTTCTTCCACTGTACAAGCAAATGATCTAAAAATCTTTTATATTTAAACTTCTCTCTCCTCTTTTGTTCCTTCCTAACTACACCTGTCTGTGGTAGCTCTTACATATGGATATTCACTGTCCAAGAGACCCCCCGCCTTTAACCAACAGCCCATTCAAACACTTCAGGAAATTTCTCTAAATCGGGCTGCTAAGACTGATTTAGTTCCCTATCATTCCCCTATCCACCTCTCCTCCACCAGGGCTTACCCCATGGCTGTTTTCTCTATTTCTGTATGGTAATTCCTGTTTTGAAAACAAAAATCATAAAACAAGGCTTACAGTAAGATTTAAGAAATGGGATGCTTGTTTAGTAAGGCATTAGAGCTGCGCCTTCATATACCCATACAGGAATGTACCTCATGCTGGTAGCTGAACTTTGTAGTATGAGTCACCTGGGTGGTATGAGTTTTAGAAAGACATGAAGGGTCATCAGGAGCAACTGAGACTTGGCACTGTGTGGCAGCACTGAGGTTCCTAAGGACAGCCCAGGAGAGGCTATTGGTGAAAGCATTAGTAAGTTCTGAGGGTCAAGAAAGTGTGTAAAGGTCTGAGGAGACGAAAGCTAAAGAAAGTTCTAAAGGTTATATAAGAAAGTGACTTAGGTGATGAAATACTTTGCCGATTTCTATGCTGTTGCTATAGTAAGATTTCAAAGGTTCAGGAAACCTATACTTAATGTTTCAACCAGACTACTCGTGGGGACTGGAGACTCCAGGTTGCAAAAAGGAGACACTTGTCCCTGTAACACTCAATCAGCATCCCTATGCTTGCTTTCTCCATGACAAACTAGAGATCACTTTCAACATTGGCCAGAGACTTCCATAGGAGGCATGATGCATATTTCACCCTGAAAAGTTCAACTCCGTCCCCAAGAAACTCTATATAAACTCTGCCTTCTGTTCAGTTCCCTGCTGATTCTCACCTGAGCAAAAGCAGCCACCCTCCTGGATTTTTCCCTCCCAATTAGTCTTCTGTGTGAGGTTCGTGTGCAGTGTGACTTTGTGGTATTCCCTGGCTCCCAACTGCCAGGATACCTTAGCATCTGAGGTGTAACACTATAGGACTATTTCAGGGTCAAATATGAGATGTTGGGCAGGAGAGATGGCTTAGTGGTTTAGAACACTTGCTGCTTTTGCAAAGGACTTGGGTTGGATTCCCAGCTCTCACAACCATCTGTAATTCCAGTTCCAGGGAATCTGTAATTCCAAGTTCTTCTGGCCTCATAGGGCACCAAAAACACATATAGTGCACATACACGCAGGCAAACACTCTTACACAGGAAATAAACTAAGTCTAAAAAATAAAAGTAGAATAAAAATAGTGAGATGACAAGAATTTCCCTCCCTCCCTCCCCAGATCTCATGTGGGATCTTCAAACTCTTTGTCAGTTAAGAATGACCTTCAAGGGGCTGGAGAGACAGCTGATTAGTTAGTTAAGAGCACTTGCTACTTTTCCAGAGGACCTACGTTCAATTCCCAGCACCCACATGGCAGCTCACGACTGTCTGTAACTCCAGTTCCAGGGGATCTGACACCCTTACACCAATGCACATAAAATAAAATAAAAAAAATATGAATGGCCTTCAACTTCTGATCCTTTTTGCTCTGTCTCCTCAGTGCTGGGCTCACAGCCATGCACACTACACTCGGTTTATGCAGCGCTGGGAATCTAATTTTGTGAAAACACTGTGTAGCCAAAAGAGCTACATCCCCAGTCTGATATCAGCATTTTTAAATACAACAGTAAAGTGTGTAAACCAAAAGTAGCAAAATATGAATAATTGGTACATCTAAGTGGTGGGTATATGGGAATTCACTGTATCATTATATTTTTCTACAGAGTCTTCCCTTTTTGGAGAACAAAGAGTTTATCATGTGCCAGCAGTTGAAATTCCACCAAAGCTTGGGGCTGGAGAGGCTGCTCTTCCAGAAGACCTGGTTTTGATTTCTGACACCCACATGATAGCTCATAACCATTTGTAGCTTCAGTTCCAGGGGATCCAATACTGTCTTCTGGTGTCCACAACAATGCATACATGGTATTCCGATACACACGTAGGCAAAATACCCACACACATAAAATAAAAATAAATCTTAAAAAGAAGATCTCCCACAGCTGCATGCTACACTGGGCTCCACAACACCCAGTCTCCCTCCCTCCCCACTAGAGTGCTGGTGATTGCAGGCGCTTGATCACTAACTCTACCAGCAAGTTCACAACACCCTTCTACACGGCTCCCACTCCCTCACACACCCATGGCGCTCTGTGGCCTCCCTTCCTCTTGGCAGAGCTTGGCCTGATGTTCACTCCTGGGATTTCTGCATGGCTCATACCTCCTCCATCACTCACTGAGGCCTTCTGACCCCACATCATGGTATTGCCCCGCTTTCTTCAACGATGCACAAGCACTTTTCTGACTGTTAACTGCTCTTATCCAGATAGAACAGGGCTTTGTAAGCGACCCGCCATTGTCTTTGTTGCTACAAACACATGGTCCAATAGTGTCTGGGATGTAGTGGATCCTCAGTAAATTGTTTTTCTTTTGGTTTTGAGACAGGGTTTCTCTGCATAGCCCTGGCTGTCCTGGAACTCACAGAGATCCACCTACCTCTGCCTCCCAAGTGCTGGGATTAAAGGTGTGCGCCACTACTGCCTGGCTCAGTAAATATTTCTTTTTTTTTTTTTTTTTTTTGGTTTTTCGAGACAGGGTTTCTCTGTGGCTTTGGAGGCTGTCCTGGAACTAGCTCTTGTAGACCAGGCTGGCCTCGAACTCACAGAGATTCGCCTGCCTCTGCCTCCCAAGTGCTGGGATTAAAGGCGTGCGCCACCAATGCCCGGCTCAGTAAATATTTCTTAAAGTATTTATTTGATATTAAGTGTGTGTGTGTGTGTGTGTGTGCCTGAGTGTATTTATATGCAGCAGGTGCAGGTCAGGAGAGGAATGGAACTGTAGTTAAAAGCAGTTGTAAGCCACCATGTCAGTATTGGGAACAAACCTGGGTCCTCTTCAAGAGCAGCGAGTGGTCTTAAACACTGATCCACTGATTCATCTCTCCAGCACCCCGCTCAATAGATATTAGACAAATAAATCTCTACATCCCTTCTTTGAGTCCTGTTCTTCCTCACTTATAAACAGACCTCTTAGGGTTCAGAGAAGATCACACAGGAAACAGAGCCCATGGCCTGTTCTCACACAGGGGCTTCTTTGTCTCTAGGTCATTTGAGAGATGGAGATCTGAATGGCTCTACCTTCCCTGGAGTCTTCTGTTTCTCATTCACCACAATGCTATCTAAAAGGAGGGCTGAGGACAGTGCCCAGCAAGGTGAGTGGTTCCTCAGAGGTTCCCAGGGCTTGTGCTGGACCGGGAGGAGGCAGGTGAAGCCTCTACAACTATGCCAGTGAGCTGGTGGCCTGTAGTGCAATGGAAAAGCTCCATGAGTAACTACATCGCTGGTGCCGAGGACCACTCATCCATCCTGATGAATGTGAGGCTGATAAGGTCACGGGCAGGTTTAACAGCCACCTTAAAACCTATGGCATCTGCGGAACCATCTGCAGAATGGGCCAGTCAGATAGTTCCCTTCTCTGGTTGGCTAAGGCTGATGGCACTGTCTCAAAAGAACTATTGGCCTGAGGAAATCAGGGAATAGTTATTACAAACAGTGAGAACTGCATCCCCCATCCCATAGGCTCTCAGAGAGCCTCAAACTCCCATTCCTCCCCCATAGGGCCCAGGCCCACCTTGACCTGGGCGTAGAAGCTGCCCAGGCTGCAGCAGACCCGGCACTCCAGCATGGTGTCGTCATTGTTGTGGGCATAACGCAGGGCCTTCTCAAAGCTCTCTAGGGCTTTCTGGAAGAGGCTGAGGCCCAGGAAAGCGTTGCCCATGCTCAGGCTGACCTGGCCCCCAAGCTGGGCACCAGCCCGGGTGCCAGGCAGGCCGAGGCAGGTCTTGCAGTAGGAGATGGTCTTGTGGAATTCACACAGTTTCTCATTGCTGCGTGCCAGGTTCAGGTAGCTTTCAAGCAGGAAGTCGGCATCCTCCAGCTCCCGTGCAGTGTCAATCTGGACCACAGCAAACTGACCCCGGGGGTAGCAGGCAGACAACACTCAGCCAAGGCTCAACCTGCACCCTCTCGGGTGCCACACCCTGCCCCACCTCACAGCCGGAGCAGCAGACCCTAAAGCTCTGACTCAGAGCTTCCACCGCCTCAGATCCATCCTCCCCGGCTTGTCACAGCCTAGCCTATAAGCTTGAACTGCAGCTCAGACCTGCAGACACTTTTACCCCCTGCCTCAGACCTGGAGGCTACTGCTGACCAGCCAGACCCTTATATGGAGCCTTTACCTCCAGGCAGCAAGCAGCAGACTAGAACCTAGGCTTGGAGGTCTGGTCTCTGGCCCCGATGCCTGAGAACCTCAGGCTCGGTGGCTTAGATAGTGAAGCTGGAGGCCCCAGGCCCCAGCTGTCTAAGCCTCATGCAGATTGAAAACCTCAGACCCAGCCGCTAGCCTGTGAGATGGAGGATTCTCAGGAAGCTACAAGGAGGCTGGGCGTTAGGAGCCGGCCAGGCCTGTTCCCAACCCTTTCACAGCACCCGGGCCCTCCCACAGCACCCCTGAGGGTCCGTCTACCTTCAGCATCTCTTTGTAGCGGCCCATCTCGGAGTGAGCCGTGACCAGGCATCCTAGCACGCGGAAGCGGCCCACGAGGTCGGAGCCCTTCTCCAGCACTTTCATCCACACCTGCAGCGCCTTCTCCGTCTGGTTGGACTGGTACAGCTGCAGTCCTTTCTCGATCTGTTGCTTTGTCTGGTCCTGCCCCATCCTCCCACAGCCTGGCCACTCAGGGAAAGACCGTGGTTGGCTAGGTGCCTCTAGACCCTCATGGTGTTGGATCCACAGTACTGGTTGCCCACTGACCGCTGAGAGGGAAAAGCGACACTCGGAGCTGAGCAGGGCCTGGGTGGACAACGGGCGCCACCCTGGTTACAGGGCTGGTTCAGCCCCTGTTTGCAGCTGTCCCTGCCAGTTGGGGCCACGTGGCTTCTGAGGAATGTCAGCAGCAAGGTCACGGGGTTTCTGCCGCACCCACCCAAAGCTGAGAGGTGGCTCTTCCAGGGATACAGGCATTCTGTCACCTGGGAATCTGTTTGGGGGCCCCTTCTGACAACAGCCTTGATGACCCTGGCAGGTTAGGCTTTCCTGAAGTTTTGCCAACGGCTGTCTGCCAGGATGACTGGGCAAGCCGCAGGACAGGGGTTCTGACAGCAGGAAAGAAACAAGCTCACAGGCATCGAGGAGGTGGGGTGAGTGCGCCGCCTGCTTATTCCCTTCCCCCTCACCTCTACTTTTCCGTTTTTCAAGACAGGGTTTCTGTGTAGCCCTGGCTGTGCTGGGATTTGCTCTGTAGACCAGGTTGACCTCGAACTCAGATCCACCTGTCTCTGCCTCCCAAGTGCTGGGATTGGCATGCACCAATACCACCTGGTGTTTTTCTTCTGTTTGTTGAGACAGCGGTCCTATATAGCCCTGGCTGTCCTGGAAGTTACTCTGTAGGGCAGGCTGGCCTTAAACCCATAGATCCACCTGCCTCGGTCTCCAGAGTCTTGATACTAAGGGCGTGAGTCACCATGTTCCGCTAATGAAACACCTCTTGTTTTTCAACGGGGTTTCTGTTTAGTCCTGGCTGTCCTGGAACTCAGAAATCTGCCTGCCTCAGCCCTGAATGTGCTGAGATTAAAGCTTGAGCTAACATCACTTGGCTTCCCCTCTGCTTTCTTCCCAGTAACCCCACCCCATCCTGTTTTATTCTTGCATTTTACCCATCACTTAGACACTTACTTGGGCACACGTCCACATGGTTCCCAAAGGCATGCTTTCCCTAACTCCTAGGCAATCCATGCAGCTTTCCAGGCCTGTTTCCTCCTCCACAAGGTCAGGAAGCTCCAGCAGTGTGGTGGCTCACACAGCACATTACAATGGCTACCGGCCTGGCTCTGCTTGCTGTATATCCGTATTAGTTGTGTGGGCACAGAGAATTTGGGCAAATTACTGGGTCTGCGGAAGAAATGTCAACAGCACCCAGTTCATATGATTGTTACAGAACTTGAGGACTTGCTAGGTGACCAGGACTCTGAACAGTCTCTGGAGTGAAAGAAACATTATGTGTTAGAGAGAAAAGATGATACTACCCCAATGTCAAAATTATAGCCAGGGGCCACAGTTTGGTCCTTGAAGGTTTAAAAAGTGTCCCAATTCCAGGGACTGGTGAGATGGCTCGGCCAGTAATAGCATTTCCTGTCAAACTTAACAACCGGAGTTCCATGCCTGGGACCTACATGGCAGAACAGAACCAACTCCACACAGGTTGTTCTGACCTCCATACGTGTGTTCATCACACGCACGCACGCACACACGCACGCACTGAATAAGGAAAAATTGAAGTGTCCCAATTCTAATCCCTACCCTGGTCTGACAGCTTCTCTAGTAGTGAATTTTAATGCCAGACAACTGTGGGAGTCTTACAGAGAAAGTAGCCCCCCCCTTTTTTCCACAAGAGTTTCTCTGTGTGACAGTCTTGGAATTTGTTTAGACTAGGTTGACATAGAAGTCATTGAAATCCGCCTGCCTCTGCCTCCCCAAGTGCTAGGATTAAAGGTGTGCGCCACCACTGTGAAGCTGAAAGTAGCTATTTTATATACTAGACTCACTAGAACTTGTGCCAACACCACCAGCTGAATTCATCCCTGTTCCTTTAAGTCACTTCTGGCCCCAGTGCAAAGTTCATTTTGATAGAGCAGCTAATTCAGTGGATTTTCAGCATATTCTCAAATAATCAAAAAATAATAAATAAAAAGTATATGTAGCTAAGGGTGTGCAAGAGTTTTTGTACAACCATTCCACTGTGCCAATAAAGCCACTTTGAAACAAAGGACAGAGCCATCGATTGGCTAACCAGGACTAGTCATAAAGTTCTTAGAGTACTGAGGAGGTCTGCTAGAGAAGACAGGAAAAGAGAAGAGAGAATTTCCAGGGGATTTCAGGGGCTAGTGGTTTGGGGAAAATGTGGGGAGAGGGTCAACCAATCAACTCTCTGCTGTCCTTGGATTTAACAAGGTCTTTATTTCAGTTTCTGATTCAGTTTTTTGTTGTTGTTGTTTTTGAGACAGGGTTTCTCTGTGGCTTTGGAGGCTGTCCTGGAACTAACTTTTGTACACCAGGCTGGTCTCGAACTCACAGAGATCCGCTTGCCTCTGCCTCCTGAGTGCTGGGATTAAAGGTATGCACCACCACTGCCCGGCCAAAGTTTTTTTGTTTTTGTTTTTTTTTGTTTTTCGAGACAGGGTTTCTCTGTGGCTTTGGAGGCTGTCTTGGAACTAGCTCTTGTAGACCAGGCTGGCCTCGAACTCACAGAGATCCACCTGCCTCTGCAAAGTTTTTCTTATACTGGAGGAATTTAGATATTCATTACATCTGGCGCTCAACATGGGGCATCATGAAACCATGCCAAAGTGGTGAACACAGCATGCATAGCCACTGCAGAGGCCAGATGCGGCTCCCTCCGCAGACGACCTCTCTGACTGTTCTCCCATGTCTGTGGTTTTCCACTGCAGTCTTGCTACAGCAGCATTTAGCAGCTGCTCAGTCCTGGCCCCAAAACACCTCTGGGGTTAGGCACCCCACCCTCACTTCCCATCACGAAGGCCTCCGCCAGAACTGCTCGCTCCCCAGGATGCCAGTACAGGGCAGCTTGGCTTCCTTGAGACCCACTTGGGGCTCAAACTTTTTTTGCTACTGCCACCACCAAAAGCTGACGAGGAGCCCAGTTGTGTACATAGTCCTCTACCCAATGATGCTGAACAGCCACAGCTAGCCACTATCAGCTGGCAGGGTAGTCCTAGCCCAGTCTTCATCCCAGCTGTGTGAATTTCTCCTACAGGTTAGCTCTTCAGACAGCTCAGGCCCCTCCCCATATAGTGTGTGAGTAGCCATGGTAGTCCCCACCAACCTGCCCTTCATGCTGGGATAATGGAATAACATCACTGCAGGTGATTACCCATGATTATCTTAGTCTATACTGTCAGCACCATCAGACTGGGTAAGACACCTGGGAATTAGGTTTTTGGGGGGAGGGGATTAAAAATCAGAAATATCACAATGCATGGAGTTAGGACCCTGTTTAGTGCTACTATGAGTGGCTTACAAATGGAAAAATAAATGAGGGGATAAACAGGTTATCTGGGATTGATATAATGTCAATCACAGCAATTTTCACTTTGGTAGTTCATAGTTTAATTTTTTAAAAGTGGTCTGAGCTGGACGGTGGTGGCGCACGCCTTTAATTCCAGCACTCGGGAGGCAGAGGGAGGTGGATCTCTGTGAGTTCGAGGCCAGGCTGGACCGACAGCCTCCAAAACAATACAGAGAAACCGTAAAAAAAAAAAAAAAAAAAAAAAAAAGGTGGTCTGATAACTGTGCCAGATATGTTAATTTGTTAAGATGCAAACCTTTTGTTTTGTTTTGTGTTTGGAGACAGGGTTTCTCTGTATTGTTTTGGAGGCTGTCCTGGAACTCACTCTGTACACCAGGCTGGCCTCGAACTCACAGAGATCCACCTGCCTCTGCCTCCCGAGTGCTGGGATTAAAGGCAAGTGCCACCAACGCCCAGCTTAAGATGGAAATCTTAGAAAGACTTACTATTGATAAGATGAAAGTCTTAAAAGACTTACTAATAAAAGAAGAATTTCACTGGTAAAATATAAGAATTAGAAGGACTTACTACTGATAATATACAAGACTTAGAAAAGACCTACTAATGAAAATAAGAAACATACTGAGGTACAGAGGAATTTAGAGCAGAACCTACTGCACCACTGTATTATGCAACTGAAAAGGAGGGACTAGTTACACAATACTGGAGGTAGCCTCAATTCCTATTACTGGTAAGCATAACTTAAATACAGGAGCACCACGTGAATCCTACTGTGTGGTGCACACATATAATCCACTACTTGGAAAGTGGAGGAAGAAGGATCAGTTTAAGGCCATCTCTGGTATAATGGAGTTCATGTCCAACCTTGACTCAAAAGACAAAACAATGAACCCAGGCTAGACCAATTCTTGAACATCTTGAATTTCTAGCTTCTGAAACTGGGTGTCCATCATTTGCCCATTTGGGACGTTTTGGTTAGGACTAGCTTTTTCAGGTAGCTTAACAGTTCAGGTAGATATTAGTGTTTACATACATGTATTGTTTGGGGGTATGTACCCATGAATGCAGGTAGGTACCCATGGAGGTCAAAAGTGTTGAATGCCTTGGAGATGGGGTTATAAGCAGTTGTGAGCTGTCTGCCATGCACCCTTCCCATCATGATGGGCCACAGACTTACTAAGCAAACCCCCAATTAAATGATTCCTTTCATGAGTTCCCTAGTTTATGGTCTCCTCACAGCAGAAGCACAGCAGCCAACACTGGAACTCACTCTGTAGATCAGATTGGCCTTGAACTCAGATCTACCTGTCTCTGCTGGGATCAAAGGCATGTGCCACCACTCTCAGTTGTGAACGCCCCCCCCCAGGGTTTCTCTATAGCTATGGAGCCTGTCTTGGAACTCACTCTAGATCAACCTGCCTCCAGAGTGCTGGGATTGAAGGTGTTCAACACCACCGCTCAGTAGGAAAAAAACCTATCTAAAAAAAAAAAAAAAAAAGATATCCTGCCTCAAAACTAAAAGCAAACAAAAGGCCAAGATGGCTGAGTGAGAAAAGGACTTGTTGCCAAGCCTGATGGATATGACTACTGGGTCCCACACAGGACAGATCACTCTTGAAAGCTGTCCTCTGACACACATATACATGTATGTTTCTCTCACATGCACAAACACATCCACACACTCAGGCCATTCCCAGCATCCACACTGGAGTTCTCTCAGCGCTTTGTACCTAAACCAGTTCCGTGTGATCTGCCTACCTCTTCTGACATCTGTGGGAACCAAACATACATGTGGGGTGTGCGTTTATATACAGGCATATATACACATATGCGGGTAAAAATAATACCTGAAAACAAAGTAAGTCAAGCCTTTACTAGAACCCAGGAGGCAGAAGCAAGTCACAGCACTCAGGAGGCAGAGGCAGGTGAATGTCTGTTCACAGCACTCAGGAAGCAGAGACAAATGGGTCTCTGTGAGTTCAAAGCTACC